TTGCGATGCCAACTACAACAATGCCATGAGAATGCCTGTTCTCACTTTCCGGTGACATTGTAAACAAGAAACGGGCAGCATTATCTCCTGCAAATGTAAATACACTTGTTTGTGTGAGCAATTGGCTGAACAAAAAGTAGGACTGAGTGGACTTGTAGGCTCTAAAATTTTACATTGTTTTGTTTTTGAATGCAGTTGGTTTTTTTACATAATTCTACATTTGTAAGTTCAACTTTCATGATAAAGAGATTGCACTACAGTACTTGTATTAGATGAATTGAAAAATAGTATTTCTTTTGTTTTTTTACAGTGCAAATACTTGTAATCAAAAATAAATATAAAGTGAGCACTGTACACTTTTTTATTCTGTGTTGTAATTGAAATCAGTATATTTGAAAATGTAGAAAACATCAGAATATTTAAATGGTATTCAATTCTTGTTTAACAGTGCGATTAATCGTGATTAATTTTTTAGTCGCTTGACAGCCCTACTTTAAATGAAGGATCCCTCTTTCTACACGGGACATTGGAGCACTTCTGTCACCATGCAATGTACAGCAAAGATCCAGCTAGATGCCAGCCGGCCAGTGTCTGGTTATGACAAATATCAATAATGTAATATCTGCTCCCTAGACAAACCTCTTAGGTGTTCTGAGAAAGACAGACAAAACCCTACACTGCTAGGTGCTATTTTGCAATGTGGAAAAAGTTCTTCTTAGGCCTTTAAAAAGGGTGCTGGTCAAAACCCAGAACAAATTGGGAGATCTAGCGTTAGAAACAAACACAAGAAAAGGACATATTCAGAAGTGTTGTGATTGCACATGAAGAACATAGCTAGTGAGACATGTAGGCAGACTTAACATTATGAGAGAACAGAAGTAACTGTCATATCTATCAACATAGCTAATTTAGGTTATGATTAAATATGGTTTAAGGGCAAAATTGTCCAATCAGCCACATTTCATGAAAACGTGTGTGGAGTTTGGTGACTACAGCTCTTTAGTTAGAGGGACTGGGGAAAAAATTAGACTCAAAGGAAAAAATTTAAGAGAGAGATAATTTTAAAATGATTCCTCTGTCAAAGTTAGTAAATCTTTTAGCAAAAATTATAATGGAAAATTCACTTATCCTCCCAAGAGGTATGGTGTGAAATTTGGAGACTAAATCTTTAAAATGTGAAATGAAAAGGTTTTATTCCTGCTTTAAGTGCATATCTTACCAGAACCTCCACTATGGAGCCATAAAAAAGTTTAATCTGATCTTTTGACCTTGAAAATTTAAAGTGTCTCTGAAAGGTGAATTAGTTCTAATGATCAAGTGTTCCTCCTTGATAGAACAATTTCTGGAAGTTAAAAATAATTTGATGTGTAAAACATTAAAAAAGGTAAAAAAAAAAATTACAGATTGTAACAGTTTGAATTCTTAGTGCAGGAGGGAAGAAAATGAGCTATGCTTTAAGTAAATATTTTAAAACAAAAATAACGAAAATGGGTTTAAGAAATTACACAAGAGTAAGGGTAAAAAATGTATAGTTCAAATTTAAGAGGAAATAGTACATTATATGAGACACAAGTTAAGTACAAAACCCTTGGCCATTGGGGAAATTAAACCAATGGGAGAAAATCAAAAGAAGAAGTGTAACATTAGCGTTCCATGACAAAAGGAGATGACTGAAATTAATTTTCCACATAACTAACGAAAAGCAAGCAGTGATGCTATAATGGCTTTGGCATCTTTTCTTGTTTTAATCAGTAATTCTGGTTTTTAAAAAAATACTTTCAACTTTCTAGTCAGTACTAGTCACATTTTTTTTTAATAATTAAGAAATATTTCTGTCAACCTTTAAGACCATTACCAGAAAGTGAGAAGTTAACTTCACCAGCTCTCTCAGTATATGTCTGATTAGACCTTTTACAGTCTGACCCTACAGTTATGGTGCCTTACATCTCACTACATTTCAGATTCTTGAACATAGGTTTTTGAAGACTGTTTCCACTCAAATTCAGACTTGGCTATTGAATTAAAAATAAAACAGAGACAGAGTTAAACAACACTGCACAATTTTGATAGATGCTTGATTTTTGTTTCATCAATGAGACTAATAAATGCTATAGAGTGCAAGCATTTCTCTTGTGTTTTTGTTTTAGAACCTATAGAATCATAGGACAGGAAAGGACCTCGAGAGGTCATCTAGTCCAGTCTCCTGTACTCATGGCAGGACTAAGTATTATCTAGACCAGTGGTCTCCAACCTTTTTATGCCCAAGATCACTTTTTGAATTTAAGGGCAACCCAGGATCTACCCCGTCCTTTCCCCAAAGCCCCGCCCATCCCCCCCCCCCCCCCCATTCTCCCCTCTCTCTGTCGCTAGCTCTCCCCCACCCTCACTCACTTTCACCGGGCTGGGATAGGGGTTGGGGTTCGGGAAGGGTTGCGGTCTCTGGGCTGGGGCCGAGGGGTTCGCAGTGTCGGAGGGAACTCTGGGCTGAGCCTGAGGCTGGGGGTTGGGGTGCAGGAGGGGGTGAGGGGTGCAAGCTCTGGTAGAGAGTTTGGGTGCAGGAGGAGGGGTCCAGGCTGGGGCAGAGTGTTGGTGTGCAGGCGGGTACAGGGTGCTGGCTCTGGGCCGGGGGGTCAGGCCTGGGGCAGAGTGTGGGGGTGCAGGGTGCTGGCTCTGGCAGGGGGGGGTCAGGGCTAGGGGTTGGGGTGCTGGCTCCAAGAGGCTCCTGGGAAGGCCAATGTGCCCCTGAGGCTCCTAGGAGAGGTGAGGAGCATGTAGCTCCACGCGCTGCCCCTCTCTGCAAGTACTGCCCCATAGTTTCCATTGGCCACAGCTCCCTGTTCCTGGCAAAATGGGAGCTGTGGGGATGGTGCTTGCAGACAGGAGCAGCATACAGAGGGAGACCCCTGCCCCCGGGGCTGTGCTGACCACTTTCGGGAACGGCGTGGGACTGGGACAGGCAGGGAGAATGCCTCAGCGGCAGCCCCTCTAGACCACCAGACATCGTGATCAACTGGGAGTTCCTCTAAGATCGACCAGTTGATCGTGATTGACTGATTGGTGACCATTGATCTAGACCATCCCTGATAGGTGTTTGTCTAAACTGCACTTAAAAATCTCCAATGACAAAGATTCCACAACCTCCCTAGACAATTTATTCCAGTGTTTAACCACCCTGAGAGTTAGGAAGTTTTTCCTAACATCCAAGTTATACTGGCCATGCTGCAATTTAAGCCCATTGCTTCTTGTCCTATCCTCAGAGGTTAACGAGAACAATTTACCTCCTCCTTGTAACAACTCTTTTATGAACTTGAAAACTGTTATCATGTCCTCAGTCTTCTCTTCTCCAGACTAAGCAAAACCAATTTTTTCAATGTTCCCTTATAGGTCATGTTTTCTAGACTTTTAATAATTTTTTGTTGCTCTTCTCTGGACTTTCTCCAGTTTGTCCACATCTTTCCTGAAATGTGGTGCCCAGAACTAGACACAATACTCCAGTTGAGGCCATATCAGCACGGAGTATAGCAGAAGAATTACTTCTTGTGTCTTGCTTACAACACTCCTGCTAATACATCCCAGAATAATGTTTGCTTTTTTTGCAACAGTGTTACTCTGTTGTCTCATATTTCACTTGTAAGCCACTATGACCCTTTCCATAGTAATCCTTTTAGGGCTGTCATTTCCCATTTTGTATGTGTGCACTTGATTGCACCTTCCTAAGAGGACTACTTTGCATTTGTCCTTATTAAATTTCATCCTATTTACTTCAGACCATTTCTCCAGTTTGTCCAGATCATTTTAAATTTTAATCTTATCTCCAAAGCACTTGCAACCTCTCCCAGCTTGGTATTGTCTGCATACTTTATAAGTGCACTCTCTATACCCTTATCTAAATCTCATCGTAATATAGTAATAGAAAATGTTCTGACATGTTTAATAAATTATATATTATACTATGTATGAAAAACACCTGTCGGGTGGTCAGGTACACTTACTCCTGCCTCAGCATGGGGGGATGGACTTCACTAGATGACCTCTTCAGGACCATTTTAGGCCTAGATTTCTATGATTCTGTGAAGTAGAGATCCTACAGATAACAGCATCTTTTACTGCACAGCCCTGATTTATTCCTTCATCATGATCAGTTGGATGATTTAGAAGTCCTGTGGAAAAAATAGTATGTTATCTTGTAATGAAAGACTGTATGAATGCACATGCACAAGCAGACTGAATTGGTAATTGTAAAGGTTGCATTGGTAATTGTCATTTCCTAACTTTTGAGCACTTGACCTTGCAACTTCAATGTTCTTTTAATGTTGTCTTTTTCTATGTAAATTCCTAAATTTAAAAAAAATCTGGAAAAAAAAAATTCCACCATGCGTAACCATGTATACCCAAAGAGGGTTCATTACCAGGTTTGGGACACACAGAACCATAGTGGGGTGCCTCTACCGCTTGAATTAATTGAATAACTGGTAGCAGGCTATTATTCTATATGTAGCTGTTTAACAGCACACTTTTGTAGTTTCTTTTAAATTCAACATATGAATATGTAAAAATAATTGGAATGTATTTTCTGGTAATACCGTAATAAGTATATGGTCTAGTAAACTCTGAGGTCAAAGGACTTGGAGTTTAAAAACCTTAGCCCTGGTCTACACTAGGAGTTGAGGTCGAATTTAGCAGCGTTAAATCGATTTAACCCGTCCACACGACAAAGCCCTTTTTTTCAACTTAACGGGTTCTTAAAATGATTTCCTTACTCCACCTCCAACAAGGGGATTAGCACTGAAATCGGCTTTGCCAGGTCGAATTTGGGGTACTGTGGGCGCCATTAGATGGTATTGGCCTCCAGGAGCTATCCCAGAGTGCTCCATTGTGACCGCTCTGGACAGCACTCTCAACTCAGATGCGCTGGCCAGGTACACAGGAAAAGGCCCGCGAATTTTTGAATTTCAATTTCCTGTTTGGCCAGCATGGCAAGCTGCAGGTGAGTGCAGAGCTCATCAGCAGAGGTGACCGTGATGGAGTCCCAGTTTCACAAAAGAGCTCCAGCATGGACCGAACGGGAGGTACGGGATCTGATCGCTGTATGGGGAGAGGAATCCGTGCTATCAGAACTCCGTTCCAGTTTTCGAAATGCCAAAACCTTTGTCAAAATCTCCCAGGGCATGAAGGACAGAGGCCATAACAGGGACCCGAAACAGTGTCTTGTGAAACTTAAGGAGCTGAGGCAAGCCTACCAGAAAACCAGAGAGGCAAACGGCCGCTCCGGGTCCGAGCCCCAAAGATGCCACTTCTATGATGAGCTGCATGCCATTTTAGGGGGTTCAGCTACCACTACCCCAGCCGTGTTGTTTGACTCCTTCAATGGAGATGGAGGCATCATGGAAGCAGGTTTTGGGAATGAGGAAGATAGCTCACTGCAAGCAGAGAAACCAGTTTTCCCAACAGCCAGGAACTGTTTCTTACCCTGGACCTGGAGCCAATATCCCCCGGACCCGCCAGGCGGAGAAGGGACCTCTGGTGAGTGGTACCTTTTTAAAATAGCATGCATGGTTTAAAAGCAAGCATGTTTAATGATTAATTTGCCCTGGCATTTGCGGCTTTCCTGGATGTACTTACAAAGCCTTTGCAAAAGGTTTCTGTGGAGCGCAGCCTTATTCCGTCCACCAAGGTAGGACACTTTACCACTCTAGGCCAGTAGCACATACTCGGGAATCATTGTAGAACAAAGCATTGCAGTGTATGTTTGCTGGCATTCAAACAACATCCGTTCTTTCTCTCTCTGTGTTATCCTCAGGAGAGTGATATCATTCATGGTCACCTGGTTGAAATAAGGTGCTTTTCTTAAGGGGACGTTCAGAGGTGCCCGTTCCTGCTGGGCTGTTTGCCTGTGGCTGAACAGAAATGTTCACCGCTGTTAGCCACGGGGAGAGAGGAGGGGCTAGCCACGCGGTGGGGGGAGGCAAAATGCGACCTTGTAACGAAAGCACATGTGCTATGTATGTAATGTTAACAGCAAGGTTTACCGTGAAAGAGTGTGCCCATTGTTCTATAAAATGTGTCTTTTTAAATACCACTGTCCCTTTTTTTTCCTCCACTAGCTGTATGTGTTTCAAGAATCACAGGATCTTCTCCTTCCCAGAGGCTAGTGAAGATTAGAAGGTGAAAAAAAGGCACTCGCGATGAAATGGTCTCTGAGCTCATGCTGTCCTCCCACACTGACAGAGCACAGATGAATGCATGGAGGCAAACAATGTCAGAGTGCAGGAAAGCACAAAATGACCGGGAGAAGAGGTGGCGGGCTGAGGAGAGTAAGTGGCGGGCTGAAGAGAGGGCTGAAGCTGAAAGGTGGCAGCAGTGTGATGAGAGGAGGCAGGATTCAGTGCTGAGGCTGCTGGAGGATCAAACTAATATGCTCCACCATATGGTTGAGCTGCAGGAAAGGCAGCTGGAGCACAGACTGCCGTTACTGCCCCTGTGTAACCATCCGCCCTCCTCCCCAAGTTCCATAGCCTCCTCCCCCAGACGCCCAAGAATGCGGTGGGGGGACCTCCAGCCACTCCACCACAGAGGATTGCCCAAGCAACAGAAGGCTGGCATTCAATATGTTTTAAAGTTTCTAAAGTGCTGTGTTGCCTTCTCCTTCCCTCCTCCACCACCTCTCCCAGTGCTTCTCTCCTCCACCACCACCCCTCCCGGGCTACCTTGGCAGTTATCCCCCTATTTGTGTGATGAATTAATAAAGCATGCATGAATGTGAAGCAACAATGACTTTATTGCCTCTGCTAGCGGTGATCGAAGGGAGGAGGGGAGGTTGGTTAGCTTACAGGGAAGCAGAGTGAACCAAGGGGCGGGGGGTTTCATCAAGGAGAAACAAACAGAACTTTCACACCGTAGCCTGGCCAATCATGAAACTGGTTTTCAAAGCTTCTCTGATGCGCACCGCACCCTCCTGTGCTCTTCTCACCTCCCTGGTGTTTGGCTGTGCATAACCAGCAGCCAGGCGCTTTGCCTCAACCTCCTACCCCGCCATAAATGTCTCCCCCTTACTCTCACAGATATTGTGGAGCACACAGCAAGCAGTAATAACAGTGGGAATATTGGTTTTGCTGAGGTCTAACCGAATCAGTAAACTGCACCAGTGCACTTTTAAACGTCCAAATGCACATTCTACCACCATTCTGCACTTGTTCAGCCTGTAGTTGAACAGCTCCTGACTACTGTCCAGGCTGCCTGTGTATGGCTTCATGAGCCATGGCATTAAGGGGTAGGCTGGGTCCCCAAGGATAACTATAGGCATTTCAACATCCCCAACGGTTATTTTCTGTTATGGGAATAAAGTCCCTTCCTGCAGCTTTTGAAACAGACCAGAGTTCCTGAAGATGCAAGTGTCATGTACCTTTCCTGGCCATCCCACGTTGATGTTGGTGAAACGTCCCTTGTGATCCACCAGTGCTTGCAGCACTATTGAAAAGTACCCCTTGCGGTTTATGTACTTGCTGGCTTGGTGCTCCGGTGCCAAGATAGGGATACGGGTTCCATCTATGGCCCCACCACAGTTAGGGAATCCCATTGCAGCAAAGCGATCCACTCTGACCTGCACATTTCCCAGAGTCACTACCCTTGATATCAGCAGATCTTTAATTGCGTTGGCTACTTAGATCACAGCAGCCCCCACAGTAGATTTGCCCACTCCAAATTGATTCCCGACTGTCCGGTAGCTGTCTGGCGTTGCAAGCTTCCACAGGGCTATTGCCACTCGCTTCTCAACTGTGAGGGTTGCTCTCATCTTGGTATTCATGCGCTTCAGGGCAGGGAAAAGCAAGTCACAAAGTTCCATGAAAGTGCCCTTACGCATGCGAAAGTTTCGCAGCCACTGGGAATCGTCCCAGACCTGCAACATTATGTGGTCCCACCAGTCTGTGCTTGTTTCCCAAGCCCAGAATCGGCGTTCCACCGCATGAACCTGCCCCATTAGCACCATGATGCCTGCATTGCCAGGGCCCGTGCTTTGAGAGAAATCTGTGTCCATGTCCTCTTCACTCTCGTCACCGCACTGACGTCGCCTCCTCACCCGGTTTCGCTTTGCCAGGTTCTGGTGCTGCATATACTGCTGGATAATGCACGTGGTGTTTAATGTGCTCCTAACTGCCAAAGTGATATGAGCGGGCTCCATGCTTGATGTGGTATGGCGTCAGCACAGAAAAAAGGCGCGAAAGAATTGTCTGCCGTTGCTCTGACAGAGGGAGGGGCGACTGACGACATGGCTTTCAGGGAATTAAAATCAACAAAGGGGGTGGCTTTACATCAAGGAGAAACAAAAACAACTGTCACACAGAATAGCCCCCTCAAGGATTGAACTCAAAACCCTGGGTTTAGCAGGCCAATGCTCAACCCACTAAGCTATCCCACCCTCTGGTATTTCAGGCAGGACTGAATCTCCATTAAGGTTTTCAAGGTGCCCCTGACAGACCTCAAGATGATTGTCAACTGTTGATTTCACGGAGGGAGGGAGCGAGAGAGGAGCAAATGAATACAAAAAAAATCTTGTCTATTTCTTGGTTTGATCCACTCCATCTATCTTTTACATCTTTGGCTGGCAGCAGACTGTGCAGTAGGACTGCTAGCCATCCTCATCTCCTGCCTGCTCACCATAAGATGGTACAATATGTCTGCCTGCAGGACTAAAGAGAATGACCTGGTCGAGTCACTCCTAATTTAGTCCCTGCACCCATGTCTGCCCAGGCGCTCCTGACCAACCTTACCGAGGCGGCCAGGAGCACCTCGGACATGATGAGGATGGTTTTCAGGCCTATTGCACCATCTGCTGCCACAAGGCAATGGGTTGCTGCTGCTGTATAGTAATGCAGTACCATATCTGCCAGCACCCTGGAGACATACAGTGATAGTGAGCTAAGCAGGCTCCATGCTTGCCGTAGAATGGCGTCTGCACAGGTAACTCAGGAAAAAAGGCGCGAAACGATTGTTTGCCGTTGCTTTCACAGAGGGAAGGCCTGATGACATGTACCCAGAGCCACCCGTGTCAATGTTTTTTGCCCCATCAGGCATTGGGATCTCAACCCAGAATTCCAATGGGCAGCGGAGACTGTGGGAACTGTGGGATAGCTACCCACAGTGCAACACTCCGGAAGTCAACGCTAGCCTTGGTACTGTGGAAGCACTCCAATGAGTTAATGCACTTAGAGCATTTTGTGTGGGGACACACACAATAGACGACATAAAAACGATTTCTAAAGAAAGACTTCTATAAATTCAACCTAATTTCGTAGTGTAGACATACCCTTAATCTCAAAGGTTATTGTATCATGATACAGTTATTACCTCAAAATCAGAAAGAGAAATAATTTTAAAGTATTATCATCTGTAGATCAATATGTATGCGTAAATATATAATCTGTATTGGGTTTTTTATATGGAAATTAAATATGTTAGGGTCAGGAACGTGCTTTCTCAAGTTTTAATAGTTTGCACAACTTAAATACAAAAGACAGGCAAGGTGTAGCACACACGCACACAGAAATGAAATACACTTTTGTTATATTACTGTATTTCTGTTGTGCATGCTTTGTAATGCAGCCTCCTACCCGGTGAATATTCCTCCAGTTTCACTAAATATGAAGTTCCTCTTCTGGATGTATGGATTATGGATGTATGTCTCAGACCCCAAATATGTGACTTTACAGAGGACCTTGATTACAGAAGACCTTAGCTTATAAATGAGCTTAATATAGTTTATATATTGTTTTAAAGAGAGATAGGAGGGAGGCAGAGAGGAATTAGGTTGTTACAAAAAAAAATTTCTCAATCCAAACAGTTTTGCAAAAAGTTTAGTTTCATTTCAATTTATTTTGGAAAAGTTTAATTTTTTTTAAAAGGTTTGTTTAGAAATTTTAGTGAATTTGTACTGAAAACAAGGTTAAAAATTGTAAAAGGTCAGAAACTAAACGCAGCATTTCAAAATGATCAAAACAAACATTTCGGTTGATGAGATCTGAAATTTTATCAGATTGTTGGTTTGTGAACATTTTTGAGATTTTGTCTTTTTGTCCTGTTTCAGGATGGGAAACATTTCAGAATCTCAATTTCTTGCCCAACAGGAAAATGGTTTCCTGCCCACCTGTACCCGTAATTACTGTTGGACCATTTTAAAATATTTTTTTTTTAAAAAATACTTAGTCACCATTTTTCATGGGCCGGTGTGTGTGGGGAGGAGCTTGATTTTTTTTTAAAAGGAACTAAATTTTGCAGACACATTATTATTATTATTGTAATGTTAGCTTTTTAAAAAATAACATAAAACAAACATTGTTTTTCTTAAATGATATCAATACTTCAGTTTGGGGGAAAGAAAAAAGGTGTTCAGATGCTCCACCTGTTTCTTCTTTTTCTTCCGCTGGTTTCAACTAACACCAAACCAATAGCAGAGAGAAGTTGGGTAAGACATACTGCCTACTGCAAACCTTCAGTTTCAGATACTGATAACATTATTTATTCAAAGACTGAAAAGTTGTTAATGTGCATAGTTGCTTTTTGATAACTTTTTATCCAGTTTTTTTCAGCACTTCAGAGTTCTGTACACTATAAAATATATTTTAAGCATGGATAGTACTATGCAGGATTCCACTGCTTTTAAGGGTTTTTTTGTAGTAATGTGTGCATTGTAAAAATCCCATTATTATAATAGGTCCAAAGGATTTGCAGTTCTGGTAGAATATCAATCAACAAGTCTCATAAATTATGAATTATACACTTGAAAATGGCATTTTAAAATATTTTTGACTTAAAGTATTTAATAGAAAAAATAATAAAGCTGTGGGAGTTTTGCACTGCTTGCAAACAACATGGTGGCAATTCACATTTCCACCTAATTTTTGAAAGGTGGAAACCATGGCATTTTCACCTTGAATTTTAAATAAGATTAAACTTTATAGAAAAAATACAGGAGTCTGCATTTTTGTAGCCATTGTCTGAAGAAAACTTAAATACAAAGGAAAAAGTGTAAACAAAACCAGTAGGGGGGGGGGGAGTTCCTACTTTGTCTCATCGGTTTCTGCAGAGGCTCTTTGATATACCATAATGTCTATTTGCTTCATGGTCTGTTGAGAGAAGGCACTTGTCTACACTCCAAAAAGTCCATAGGGCTTCTTCAGCATTGAAAAACTTTTATCATTTACTTGCTGTGCCTTCATAATCCTGATTGAAACATCTGTGGTGGTGTGGAACTCCTTTGAGGGTCATCCTGTTTTGTATCCGGCATCCATCCTTTCCTCTGTATTTCTTTAGTTGCCTAATTTAAATTTTGTAACCCTAAAACTCTAAAAACAGGAATTCTTGTTTCCTTAGGGCCACATGTAGATAGCATGGCATCCTTACTCCCCCATCTTCCTCAAGTTTCTTGGTGGCTTCATGTGACATCCCGTAATATCTATCTATAAGGAATTACTTAACTAAAACTTGTAGGCATCCATTGGACAGGCTTCCGATCAAACATTTTAATTTAAATAAGTGCAGCTAAGGAGAAGGTTGAAGTCTGTTCCAGCTGCTAATGCAAATAGTAATCTAGTTTTCCGTTACTAGCAAGATGGAAGGGCAGAACTCCACATTCGGCTATTGGGGAAATTTGGATACATCAGTGTTTAACAGTCTGGAGGAGTGGGGAGGGAGAGTTCTTAATGGGGGTACAAGGTTTTGCGTT